TAAATAAATGTTTCTAAGAAACTAAAAAATGTGAAATATGAAACACAAAAACGTTACCAAATGGGTTTTAAGAGATCGAACGTATGTTCTTTTTTWTCAAAATATAATATTTATTTAAACCTTTAAATTATGATCGCGTTGAGTGATACCTSGTCAAATATTATCACACTAAAATCTAATTAAGTGAAGAATCTAAGAAAGCAAAAACATTGAGATTAATTTAATATTTTTTGACTTACAGGTTTCAAAAAGAAAATAAACGACATACATCGTTTGGAAGCAATAGAAAAAGATTAGTAATTTGWAATTGCAAAAATTTTACGTCAAAAAGCTTCTTTTTTTTTTATTTTATTTTACAAACTAATGACAAATACATCTTTTGTTTATTTATTTGATAAATATGTATCTACAAGGATAATTGTTTAAAACCACATATACTTATGTCACCAGCAATGAATTCAATTTTTTTTAAAATAATTTTCTAAGTTGACTAAAATAGTTTCTCAATATGATGCATAGGATCTTAAACAAAAGATTTGAAAACTAAGGGAAGTATTTAAAAGTTTTGAGTCAAACAAAATAATGATGAAAAGGTTTGCATAATTTTAAAAATTGTCAATTTAAAAAGATGTAACATATAAATTTGAGTCAAATAAGATAGAGATGAAAATGTCTATGATAATTTTAAAATTTGTTAATTTAAAAAATGTAACATATATTCAATATTCCAGCTTGTCAAACCATATAAACTAAATTGAAACGTTTAAAGTAAGAATTAAATTGAAACTATGGAAGCAAAATTAAAACTTAAAAAATTACATAAATTAAATCTTAAATTAGAGAGCTAGATTGATAATTTATCTTTTTATTCTTTTTTTCCTCCTTTGAAGAGAATCTGAGAAAGAAGATTCATATGAAACAAAATTCAAGATTTAATTTAATTAAGCTCGTTTTCATTTATCATCTCACCTTCTACGGAGAGGAAATTAATAAAAAAATGAACAACTACATAAAATAAAAATTGGAAAATCTTTTTTTTTTTAAAGAACATTTGGAAAATTAAAATATTGGTGAAGGACAGCCCATAAAATGAGACCAAAATGTCCATTGAAAATAAGTAATCGGACGCAATTTTACGCAAATAAAAGAGAGTTAAAGTCAACAAGTGGAATGGTACGGTGGAAAAATATGGATTCCAACTCTGTGGTCCTTTTTAAATTATTTATTTGTAAGAATAGTTTTTAAAATAGTGTATTAAAAAAATGAATATATCGAAAAATATGGTATTTCTATTTTCCAAGAATGTCTCACGATTTCATTAAGCAATTCATCTATTTAAGAGATGCGTCTTTAATTTTAAAAATATTTAATATGATATTTTTTATAATTCATCAATTCATCTCACGATTTCTTTAATTTCGAAAAAAAAAAAAAACTATCGGTCAGCAATCTCCTTTAAACTTTCCAACATAAAATAAAAATAGAAGATAAAATTGAAACTTTCAAAAATATCTCAAAATTAATTTGGAACCCGCCATAAATAAAAATTAAAATAAACTACGTGCATTTATGTAATTCAATCTAGAGAAATCAGTTAAAAGTAAAATAATTTTTTATATTTTTTATAATTCGCTCTAAAATATTGTTTTTATTTGCAAATTATAAAAGTTGTTGGAGGGTGATGTCATATTTTCGAGTTTCAAAAAGTTGGTGATTTTAGGATGTAATTTTGTGAGTTTGATTTTGCATGGCACAGAATTGATTAATTGAAGGCAGCAGATGACGTAATTATACCACTGCCCACCACTAAATTCCATTAGTTTCTTTCGGATTTTTTATAGAAAAAAGTGTAGTTTCAAAAAATAAAATAAAACAAAATTGACGTAGTTTTAAAACTAACAATAAAAATAAGCTGACAAAATCGTTGGATACATTTTAGTAAATCATGTAATAATATTTCAAATTATACGTCTATCTACTCATTTAATTCATATTTTAACGCATCATTAAATAATATATTATTTTATTTAATACAATGCATACTATTTTTAAATATTGTTTTATTAACAACAAGGGGAGTAATATGAAAATCTTTTCCATTATAACACATTTAAAATTCAACAACGGTGTAGAAAATTATCGCGTTGAAACGATGATAGACAATTAAAAAAATTCATACTAAAATTTCTTCTAAATAATCACAATTGTCAAGTTGGGATCATGCATATATAGTTTTTATTTCTTAACAAATAATTGTGCACAAATACGATGCACAAATAAATTTTTTTTTTTCTCTTCTCTCTTCTCGCTCTCTTTCCCACCTTATTCTTCCTTCCCCTTCGTTCCTATGTTCATGGATCAGATGTTGTCACCATATTTCTTTCTTCTCCCACGGATTAATTCAAAGGAGAGAAAAATAAATTAGAACTATTATTTTAGAGTAATAAAATAGTTTTAAAAAATTAAAAATATTATTTAAAAATATTGTTGAATTTAGATTTACAAACTTAAATTTCACCTACAATTAATACAATTTTCATTCTACACGTCATTTCTTACGCATGAAAAACTACTCTACTTTTGTCATAAATATTTTTAAAGGTATGTTATAACTTTAAAATTTATTATTTAAACTACATTATTTAAATTTTGTTTTCAAACTAACTACTTTTATTATTTTTGTATGTACATTATTTTTAAAATTTACCTTTTTTTTTCTAAAAAATATGTTACCAAATATAATGATGATGGATGAATGAAAGAGTTATGCTCCATGAAGGCTTGCTTTTCCATCGGACTTTTTTTGGACTTTAATAATTTTCAAAACCAAAAAATTCCGACATATTTTATTATGAGAATAAATCCTACTTCTAGTCCTGAAGTTTTCATGCTTGAAAAAAAAACTTGAGACGTATCGCTCAAATCATTGGTCCAGTACTATATGTAGCTTTTCTCCAGGCAAAATACTTAATATTTACAACACTTTGATAGAATACTTCAGTTCCCACATCCGTGTGTATTGCGTCTTTGCTTCAATCCGGGTCAATGAAGTCAAATCATCTCTTTAATTAGCTGTTTTAGGTACATTGGGACTCATTGCCTGTAATTGTACCACAACTCCCTAATCATATATCAAACCCACTACATGGGAAAGAAGAAATTATGTCAATCACAAGTTTGAACATGATGGCTGATGGATTAGCTAAAGGCAACATTTCTTTTATTCTCGTTCGTGTTTCTACTACATGTTTACCGTCGGAGTCTTAAACCATAAGACCCATCTTTTTTTTCCTTTGCAATAGATCTAATCTTTATATATTAGAAAAAATTGTTTCAACATCTATCGTAATTATTTCCCCATCAAAAGGTTAAGCTATTGAACCAGCATAAATACCCCTAATCATCCTAATATTCCCTCGAAGCTAGGTTTCAATTCCCCCACCACACAACATGCTCCCCGTCAAATATTTTGTAACCCAAATTAGAATTGCATTATGGATACGGATCAATTCCCACGAAACCCATTTTAATTTTTTAAGAAAAAATATATTTATTTTTCGCCATCCATCCAACCACTATTAAATTTGTCATTTTTGACAAGTCAAGCGGAAAAATGTCAGATATTTTTTCTATTTCTCAAAATAATTTAAAAAACAATCAATTTTTATGGGTGCACAGCATAAAAGACAAAGTTTAGATACTGTTTAGTGAGGACCAAGTACAATAGTACAACAGGTGAAAAATTGACAATTACTTCTTTGTAAAAAAAAATTAATAAATAAATAAAAGTCTCCATATTTGTGAACCAATTTTCCATATATTTATTACATATATGTGTGTGTGTGGAGGAGAAGGAAGAAGAAGACGAGAAGAAGAGCAAATTTCAGATCACTCCATTAATGGCTACCGAAATTGGCATCTTCGTCCAAACCGTGCTTCTGGTTTGCTCCTCCCTCTGTTTCTGCTTCTCCATCAGAAACTCAATCCCCCATGGATTCCTCAGATTTCTCCTCATTCTTCCCTTCTTCTTCCTCTTCCTCTGCATTCCCCTCCAATTTCACACCATCCATCTTCAGGGCGCCATCGGCTTCTTCATCGGCTGGCTCGGCAGCTTCAAGCTCCTCCTCTTCGCCTTCGGCAAAGGCCCTCTCTGCTCCGCCCCTGCCGCCGCCTCCCTCCGCCGCTTCCTCGCCGTCGGCTCCCTCCCAATCGAGATCCCCGTCCACCCCCCGCAGGCACCGGCGCCCGATTCCCCTCCCGTTCTCTCCCTCACCTTCCCGGCCAAATTAGGTCTTCTTCTCCTCACCTTCTGTGCGATCTATTTCCGAAATTACTTCAATCCGTACGCGGTTTTGGTCTTCTATTGCCTTTTGATTTACCTGCTACTGGAAATTCTTGTCGGGGGCGCCGCGGCGCTGGCCCGGACGCTGCTGGGGGTGGATCTGTCGCCGTACTTCGACGAGCCCTACCTCTCTGCTTCGCTGCAGGAATTTTGGGGGCGGAGGTGGAATTTGATGACCACCAGAATCCTCCGCGTCGCCGTCTACGATCCGTGCCGGCGAGTCGCCGGCGCCGCCGTCGGGAAGAGGGCGGCGGTGATGTTGGCGGTGGCTGCGACGTTCGCGGTCTCCGGCCTGATGCACGAACTGATTTACTTCTACATGGGGAGAATGGCGCCGACGTGGGAGGTGACGTGCTTCTTTCTGCTTCACGGGGTGTGTTTGCCGGCGGAGATGGCAGTGAAAGCGGCGGCCGGAGGGAGGTTCCGCCTGCCGCGGGCAGTGTCGGCGCCGTTGACGCTGGGGTTCGTGATGGTGACGAGTTTTTGGCTGTTTTTTCCGCAGTTTCTGAGGTTTAAAGCGGACGTTAGGATGTTTGAGGAGTACGCGGCGTTAGGCGCGTTGGTGAAGAACGTGACGGGGGACATGATCACGCCGTTGATCGCTTTTAAATAACTGTTTTTTATTTTTCTGGAAGTAAAAAGACTTTTTTTAATATTAAAAACTGTAGTCATCACATGATTCACGACGACGTGCGTTGGGACATGAATATAGGTTTTAAGCTATTATATATTTTTATTTTTATTTGTAAAACGTCTGTTTAATCTTTAAATTTAGATTTGAAAGATTTTTTTCAATAATAAAAATTTTGATCATCATAATTCATTTTATACTTGTTATATCTTTTTAAGTCCAACAAAACATAAAAGTAATAATTTGAACATCCGACTTTTTTGCTGATTTAATAGTTGAGCTATGGTCAGATAAGTAACTTCATTCAATCTTTATCAATAGAATAAGGTAGAGACATTAGCTCATAAAGGTTCTAGATGTCAAGTTGTGATTTATTCAACTTTGACGATAGTAATAAAATAGAGATTTCGATTTAGAGAATTTGATACTTCAAAGGTAAAGCAAATTGAAACTCAACTCTTAGAAAATATGATCTTTTCATAAAAGAAAATTGAAAGCACAATGTCAAAAATAAAAAATAAAATCAATAAGTTTGAAGATGAAATTACAACACCAACATCCATCCATGGAATTGAATTAGTTAAGTGATTATGCATATTAAAGTGAAAAAAATGAAAAAAGAGTAAACCAAAACGGCCACAAATACATGATAAAGACATCACAAATTATTTTTCTAAAATTTAGACACCGACGAAACTAAGACACATTTATTATGGTATATCTATATATTTTCAATTACATTTCTAGATAAGTTAATTGAGTCAAAAAGTTTATGATTTATATGCTTGAAAAACCAGTTGGATATATTTTACTTTTAAATTTTGTTATCTTATATTAGTATTTACCAATATTACTATTTATTCATTAATTATGACACATGCTCGTTACACCGACAAGTAGTGAACATGAACATGTTATCCAAAACTAAAGTGTCCTGGATAAAAATAAATTAATCAAATCAATTCGTTTTCCCACTTGAATATAAATTTAATTGTTAAGATATCTATCATCGACCAAAAGAAGAGGTGAATATGTTGAATTCAAAAATAAAATTTGATTTTTCATTTGCTTGGTTATGCTTATGCTCCTTTCTACTCTAAATGGTCCACAATTTCCAAAGCTGTTATTGTACCAATATATTATTTCAAATCATAGAATATTTAACAATGTTACAATACAAATGCTACTGATTAACTTCACTTCATAAATATGAAGATAAAAAGATAAATATTGTAAAAGGAAAAAAATAATAAAACACGAAAACTGTAAAAAGAATCAGAAAGGATCCAATTGCCCATCAAACTCAAATCGGCTGCAATCAAACATAAACTTCACTTTTTCTAGAGCTCTTTGCCTGTTCTTCAGCAATCTTAATTTCTGTTCATCTGCCTGCTCTTCTTCATCATCCTTCTTTCTCTTATGGGCAATTTTCCTTGAAACTTCTTTCCATTTTGATTCAAATTCACAAGCTGCATCCAAAGATTACAAAAACCAGGCATCAGTTATGGTGTGGGGCTGAGTTTACGGTACATTTACCAGTTGAAAAACTCAGAGACACGTGATAATTGGGTTGGTGGTCTGGCCCAAAGGGTTTTTAATACGACTACCCCGTTGAGTTAGATTGCTCTTTATTATCGATGTCTCCGACCAATGAGTTAAAACTGTAGTGTAAAAATTTCAAACAAGTGAAATTTCTGGGGAATGATCAAGGAGCATGAATTTGAAGGATTTTCATAGCAACAACATAAATTGAAACAATATCTTCACTACAATCAATCATCAATACACAAGAGACTCGATGATTTTAAGGTTACCAAAAGTCGTGATTGAAGAATGGGATACTATATGTATATATAGTGAACCAAAAAGCTGTAGCTTGGGGGGGCGTGTATGGACAGAAGAAAAATCCAAAAGATTGCTGCATATTCACATGAGAGAAAAAGGTGTTGTTGTGACTTGTGGCTTCTCTTGCAAATAGAGCACCATTGTGGAGATAAAACCATGAAAGACATCCTATCTTGGAGCTGTCATAAGTATTTATAGCCTTTTGGCAAAACTCCCAAAGAAAGAATTTGATCTTTTAAGGGTGCCGACAGTTCCAAATGGCTTCATACACACACACACACACAAAACAAAAAAATCAAACAAATTAATATTACAATAAAGATGGAAGGCCCCCTTAATGCATATGATGTGAGATTTGATTGTTACCAATTTGATATGAAAGAGGAATGACAGTTGCATTATGCGTATGAAATAATGAAAAGGTTTGGTTCGAATGTATAAAGTTGTATCAGCCATCGGAATCACAATTAATATCATGGCTAATGTACTACAGAAATGGCTTATGGGGCCCCTAAAACTGTCATTGCCCTGACCACTACTTCTATATTAATTTTTTTTTAATTATTAATTATTGCTTTCATTGCTGCTCCTAAGGTAGATAATCGATATTATTGATAATATTCAAAAATTTGTCACTAGATCTCTACTTTAAGGAAACAATTTAATTTTGGTGCTATTATCCCTGCTCCAGCTCTAGGATGTACTTTTACCCGATATTGGAAGTTACTTCCTAGTTATAAAAGGGTGGTCCTTATGAGCTAACTGCACTACACTTCTTAATCGGTGTAGCCTTTATCATGGGACGATCTCATGAACTTGTTCTTAACAGGGTATGCCCCTTGGAATTGATGCAACGACTACTTCTACTAACTTTCTTTATTCATCCAATTTGTTAACAAAACTTTAATGACAATCTACCTCAAAGGAATCTCAAGTACTATCAACTTCGAGGTTCTATTCCTAGTCGAACGTAACATCTTTATGCACCCATTTCACATGTTAGGTGTAGTTACAACTCTTCAACCAGTGAGCCCCCTACCACTTAATAATTGAGTACAAATTCCAACTACTTTGTACGACACTACAATATGTGTCACCAATTTCTGGTCTCGTTGGTTCATCGTAACTGAAATGACTAGATAGTTCCAAAAACTAGAATGCATTGTTAGGCTATTCTGGCATGGGAGTTACAGTACTTGCCAATCTACTAGCCACAGTACCGTCATCTACCTTGAATGAACTAATCTTTGTACCTTATAAAAAGAAACACTTCAGCCTTTAATTTATGAATTACAAGTATAGGGTATTATGCTATAAAGTTACTTTCCTATCCCCCTCCCTTCCTCTTAGAGTATATAATCTCGAGCATAGCATACCCATTTACCTTTTGTCTCTCTTTGGCCCCATCATCACTGCTTCAAGAGCAAGTACCATTATGCATATTATCCTTCATGGTACTTCTAGGACGAGTTCTATAGTACTTATTGATATTTTTTTATCGGAAAACCAACTAGAGAAGATGAAAGAATATATAAGGGCATAAGAAAAACAACCCAATAAAGGGAACATCTAAACTAACTCTTTACAGAAAAAGGCTCAAATTCTGAAGGCCAGTACTTAAGGATCCACTCATCAAGGGTATCTTCTTTGGCCTTGAGTAAACTAATTTTGTATCTTATGAAAAAAGGAAATTGTCAGCATTTATATAGTATTTTAAAAGTTCGAACCAAGTATAATGCTTCTTCTCCAAGAGGAGCAATGGATAAAGCTAGTGTCTCAGGGGAAATGTTCTCACAATGCCAGAAAAAATTTGAAATACATCTGACTGGTGTCAGCTAATATAGCAAGATCGTCGCCACAACAAAGCAACTACGACAAAGCTGAATCACAATATGCAGCAACTTTGTAGCTGATCAATTACCGAAACATGTACAGTACGGTAATGAAGAAGAAAATTTCAAAAAAGAAAATTTGTAGCCGTAAATATTTCAGAATATCTCATGCAAGAAACATAACGCCTCCATAAGGAAGCAACAGACCAAAAACATTGCTTCTAGATTACTACTATCACAAATAGCCAAAGAAAGGCCCTTGAAATATGGAACTCAACAGGTGCATGATTCTAGAAGTTCTATTTTAAATGCATACCTTGACTTTGGTCTTTAAAACCATGAATCATGCACGCACAAACCCAGGGTCGTCCTGCTCGAGTTGCTTTTGCACCGCCTTTTATTTCACCATTATGCTGTTTCAAACTGTACAAGAATACAACTTTTATGACAATAAGAAATATTGAAATACGCCTTATGCACAAATAACATGTAAATCAACGAGGACACAACGTGCACGTCAAAGAACAGAAATGAGATCCCAAGTGTTCAACTAGTATTTGTAAAAATCAGGATTCAGGAGTTGCAAATATTTTTTTTGGCCAAGGAATTGGCTAGACGATTGGGTTCCAGAAAAACATTTGAAGTATATCTCTTATGAAAACTTGAAGAATACTGGTCTTCCCTCCAGAATCCTTCCATAACTTCTAAAATGCCACAACAGTTCGGAGATGACTCCAAAACACTCCCTACTTCAAATTCTCTCGCTAAACATTAAAAAAAAAAAACGCAGTTCAACTTGGAAACTGTCAATAAAAAACCAAACCCTAGATTTATTTTTCACGACAAACCTCATCCTCTTGCACCAAATTGACTCGATACGAGGTTATCTCCAAACAAGCGACATAATCAGGACGTGTTTCTTACAAAAATTCCACTGTTTCACCAAAGTTGAACCCAAATGGCTCGTAAAATCACTTCGAACATGACCCAGATAAAATCGAAAATCGATTCATAAAAAATTTGTGCGAACCCAACAGCATAAATTGGACTTACCGGCGAGAGAAGTTGAGGGTGACCCCAACATAGGTTTTGAAGGGGGAATTGGAGGAGATGATGAGATACACACACCATGGCTTCGGCTTCAGCTGCGATTCGAAGCTCAAAGTCGCAGCAGATGGATCCTTGGTTGAAGAAGAAGACGAGGGTTTTGGATTTGAAATTGGGGATTTATGGCAACGAAATGTGTGAGAGAGGAGTCTCATTCGCTCCCTGGTTCCTCTTCTTTGGCGCCGGTTCGGAAATTGCCGTTTGGCCGTTTGATTGACAGTTGATTCATGCTCAACTACAATTTGTTTCATTTTTAGGACACATTACAAAATTAAACCCACCTCATCCGTTAAAGTGGTAAATGACTACGTCGAGTTTCATTATTTTCATCTTGGCCTCATATAAAAAATTACATTAACTTAAAAGGGAAGTTTAATTTAATTAGAGGGAAAAAATCTTTATATTAACTTTTAAGGGAATAAATAGAAGTGATTTTGAATAAAAACTCTATAAAACAAACCTCTAGAATCTAAGAACTCTCCCCATTTAAATGACAATTTAAAGAAAATTTATTCGTAATTTAAAAATTAGATTGCTTTAAAAACCACTCCAAAGATTATTACCCACTAAATTATGATAATTAGATATAAAAATTACAAAAGAAAAAAAAAATGATTTTGAGTTGAAAGATATACCAAACTCATTTTAAGAGACTTGGATACACTTTTTGTTTACAAGAAAAACCTTGAAATCTAGAATGCAATCCAACATATGCTAATTTAATTACAAGATTTATCAATCTTTCCAATAAATAATTGATAAAAATCTTTTGGTGGTTGGACCAAAAGAAATGGTTTAAGATATATTTCACTTACTAACTTATTCTATCCTTTTTTTTTTAGCTCACCTACCGTCTTTTTTCTTAATGCTATATCTTGTTATGTTGTCTCTATTTTATCACGTGAAATTTTTTATAGTACAATAACGACAAATCTTTATAAAATTAAAAGTTCGAAGTTAAGATTTATGATGTCTGAGTAAAAAAGAGGAGTACATGAATACCACATTCGAATGAAAGGGATCTCGAGAGAATAGTCAATAAAGGTTTAAAAGATTTGATAGTCACCACACTTTCCTTTTCAGTAACTAAATCGTAACAACTCCAAAGTTAAGTATAAAGTTAAGCGGGCTTTACTTGAATCAATATTTAGTTAGGTGACTTCCTAATCCTACCAAAGTTTTAAATGTATATATGCTGATAAAAAAGTTATGCTTTGTTTGGTATTTGATTTGAGTTTGATTTTATGTTTTTGAAACAATGAGCTACAAGAAACAATTATTTGGTGGGGAACGATCGTGAAAAATGGATCCATCTCTTAATTTCGCGTTTTAGTCAATTTTCTTTGAATCGGAATTTTGTATCTCAAGTGTTTACGCAGTAAAGATATAGATACAACCACAATTATTTATTTATTTATTTACATTATCTATTAAAAGTAGAAAATAGTAATACTATATATTAACAAATTTTGAGAATTTAACATTTATCATTATATACAATTTTCATTATTTTTAATGTTTTTTCCTAAATTAAGATCCAACTTTTAAATATGATATTAAACACAATTTTCCAAATTCTTAAATTGAGATTTGAGTTTTTGAATATACTGTCAACACATTTTTTAAAGCATATAACTTATTTTCTATTTCTAATTTACCTATGTTCTTCCTATCTCCCAATTTTAAATTTGTGACTTTAAAATGTAGAATTAAATCAAAAAAAAAAACTATGAAAAATATATTATTTCATATTATAAATTTATTTCACCACCTTTCAAAATTAGAACCGGTGGTGAAATAAATTTATAATATTAGTATCACTAATATGTCTTTGTCAATAGTATTTTGTTAAGTTTTTTGCGACACCAAAAAATATCGATTCATCCCAAAATATCGATTCATTCCTCGTGTTAATATTGATTCCATGGATATAAGAAAATGTCCATGAAACTCCAAGAAAACGAGGGAAAAAAAAAGTCAAGTCGGTAGTTCAAGTATGAACAGAACAGATCAAACCGTTCCTGAACCGGACTGTTAAGAGTTAAAGAACCCTTTTTTTCCCTTTTCTTTTTAATTATCTTATTTGGGGGAAAGTCGACTGCAATCAGTAATGGATGAGAATCCTATCCGCCAACGCGAAAAGAGACATTTGCCCATCTGGGTCACAAGACAATCCCTTCTAAGCTAACCTATTTCCCCCCTTTTCTTCTTCTTCTCCATCTCTCTCTCTCAGAAATGGGTGTTTTCTCTTCTCCTCCTATAACCCACTCTCCAATGGCTCGTCCCTGTAATGTTGGGTCCCTCTCCCCTCTTGGGTTCTCCTCACTTTCCCTTAAACCTCCGGCTTTCTGTAATGGGGGCAAGAAATTTGGTGGTTTAGGGCTCGTACGAGCCTCTGTTGCAGTGGAGCAGCAGACGGAGAAGACCAAGGTCGCTCTCGTCAGAATTGGGACCAGAGGAAGGTGAATTTCTGTTTGTTGCCTTCTTCTGCTCTCTGGGTCTTTCTTAGTTTTCTCTTTTAGTTTCCAATTTATGTTTTACCACTGATTTGTGTTAGCAAATGTGGCATTGAATTGTTGTTGAAGCATTTTGATCGAGAAAATAGTCTTTGAAACGTGATTTGGTTATGGTATCTAGTGTAATTGTAAAGAGTTCACTAAGTTTTTATCATGTTTGCAGTCTTTGCACTTGAATCCTCTAATTCTAGCGCTGCCAAAACTGATATTTATCACTCTTATCCCTACTGAAGTAGTACCTGAGATAGAGAGATTTTACAGCCCCCCTCTCCCCTCAAATGGGTTGAGTGTGTAAGTTGCATTTTTCCATGGTTGTAAAATTAAGAATTTGGGCTGTCGGTTTGCCTTCCGAAAAGGGTCCTCAAACCTTTCGGTCAGAGCTCTTCTTTGGTTGATTTGGAAACAGAGGAATTTTTGAAGATAAAATGAATATGAAGAAATCTTTTTGGAGTAGTGTGCAGCATACTATGTCTACTAGAAATTATTTTGTAATTACAGCGTCTTCATGATTATTAATGATTGGTTGACCATTCTTTTGTAGTTTCGTGGACAGGGTTTCCTCTGCCCTGGCCCTGTGGTGGAAAACTAGACTATGTCTATAAACATGATGTACTTCATTTTCTAGCTGGCTATATGCTTGTTTGATCTAAATCTTGTGCTGGTTTGCTGTATCATTTTCTGTGTCATATATATACTTCTGTGTGTAGGACAGCCCCTTAGCACTTGCCCAGGCTTATGAGACGAGGGACAAACTCATGGCTATCCATCCCGAGCTAGCTGAAGATGGGGCCATTCAGATCATTATAATCAAAACAACCGGCGACAAAATACTGTCGCAGCCACTTGCAGACATTGGTGGGAAAGGCTTATTTACTAAAGAGATCGATGATGCACTTATTAATAGTGACATAGACATTGCTGTTCACTCAATGAAAGATGTACCGACTTACTTACCTGAAAAAACGATCCTCCCATGTAATCTTCCGAGGGAGGATGTCCGTGATGCATTCATTTCTTTGAGTGCGGGTTCGCTTGCTGAGCTTCCAGCTGGAAGTGTCATTGGTACAGCTTCACTGAGAAGAAAGTCTCAGCTACTGAATAGATATCCATCCCTCAAAGTAAGAATGTTGTGTCTTTTAATGGAAAAACATTGCGTATACATCACTATGGGAGTTAATAAGTTATCGATCTCAGCATCTCATGTGTGAAATTGGCTCCTGAAAGATATGATAGAAAGAATGTCTCTTTGGTTTCTTTTCTACCTTGGTTGATTTTTTAAAATGTTGCTCTTGTCAGTCAACATGTTCTCTCAACAAATTCCATTCTCTCTTCTTATTTATTGCTGATACTATGAAGAGTTACCAGACTATGTTTGACGATTGACGGTTATTTTCTTATTCGAGACGGAGATTCCCTGCTGCCCCTACTCTTTTCCTTTTAACTTCCCAAATCTATCTTCTACTTGAACATAGTGGACCTGAGAGCTTTTTTGATATCTCTGTTGGTTGTGCTCATTTTCCATGATTCAACTTAGCACATCTTCTGTCTCTTGATGGAACTGTTTGCAACTACTTATGATTTTAAGGATGTTAAAGAATCTTAAATTTTCAATATTGTAGATTGATTCTGACATTCACTCCCTGTTTTTGGTCTGTGGGTGTCATTTTCAGGTGCTGGAGAATTTTCGGGGCAATGTCCAAACAAGGTTGAGAAAACTGAATGAAGGAGTGGTCCAAGCAACACTATTGGCACTAGCTGGACTTCGGCGTTTAAACATGACAGAAAACGTTACTTCAGTTCTCTCAATTGATGAAATGCTTCCAGCCGTGGCGCAGGGAGCAATTGGTATTGCCTGTCGAAGCAACGATGATAAAATGGTATGTTTTCATCGGCTATGTAAATCAATCCTTACCCGTTGCTTGTGTTAGTTTGGGAAATGCCATTTATAACTACATCCTGTTTGGCTTTTCATTTGCAGGCCAATTACTTGGCCTCATTAAACCATGAGGAAACCAGACTGGCTGTTGTTTGTGAGAGAGCTTTCCTCGAGATGCTTGATGGATCTTGTCGAACTCCAATCGCAGGATATGCTTCCAAAGATGAAGATGGTAACTGTATATTTAAAGGGTTGGTGGCCTCCCCGGATGGAACCCGAGGTACAAACGACATCCATGTTTAGATCAAACGACTTTTACTCTCATTTTTGTCAGCTTCATCTTCCAACCCTTACCAATGTTTCTTCCTCTTTCATTTCAGTTCTCGAAACTTCTCGAAGAGGTGCATACGCCATCGACGATATGGTTGCAATGGGAAAGGATGCCGGAAAGGAGCTTCTTTCTCGAGCAGGTCCCGGTTTTTTCGATAGCTAGTTAGTAGAGTTTAAGTTAGAATTTTAGGATCAAGGCTTAATTTTCAACATCTTCAAGTGAGTAGGAGTTTTATATACATCCTTTGTGATGAAGTTTGTTGTACTCTAAAGATGAATTCTTCTTCTTTTTTCTTTTCCTCCCACTCCTTTGTTTTCTTAATTGGTTGTGTAAATTAGAACAGAAATCATTGAGCATATCTTGGCTTCCCCAAATAATCAAATACAATTTTCCCGTGTGTGCTTTTGGATATTGCTTTTTATAATTTTTCAGTATGTAAATTTGTTTTCTTCATCGAGGATGAGTTACAATTGAAAAAGTAGAACCAAACCAAAATAAAAAGTAGTTTTATTAGGGTGATTTTCTACCTTTTAATTTAAACATTATCTGTTAGTAATCATTTGCTCTGACTGCCACTAATCACTCTCAAGTCAAATTTAAAATTTTGAAAATGTTTTTTCATTTATTACCAAATTCTAAAAATGCCTATAGAAATTAGTTTTATTTTTTATTTTATTTTATTTTTTTTTTGATTTTTATTTATGTTTCCATTTTTTTCAAAACATAAATGAAATCATTATATTTCCATTTGTGACCCATAAAATGTATAACATAACAAATATTTAAAAATAAATAAAAGGTAAAAAATTTTAATTTTAATTTAAAAAATAAATTATTATATCAAACTTTTACTTTCTAAATTTAGAACTATAGAAAACTTGAAATAAGAAAGGTCTATGAAACATGTTTCTGTTTTCTTTTTTCAATAAAAATAAATAACAAAAAATAATTATCCAACACATGTTTTTCTTTATTAAAAAAAAAAAAGTAAGAAACAAGAAAATGTTTTTCTTTATTAAAAAAAAGTAAAAAACAAGAAACGGTAACGTTACTGAAACCCCTCAACCTTGACATAAAAAAGGTTGTTGGTGCCTTAACCATTCGTCGTCAATCCAAAAGCCTACTTTACCGAGTTCTAGAAGATCACAGCAGAAATGGTACACAGATTTGAACAAAAAAGCAATAATTCATGGCAAATAGTTCCATTCAACTCATGGAAATTTGAAACAAGCTTCCGAAGATTTAAGTATTACTCTCTCAATGAACCTTATTAACGTACATCATATAAACTTTAAAGCCATAATAAGTTAAATCTTGTAGCATGCAAAATCACTAAAGTTTGAGGAGAAAAATTTTTGCCTACAAAAATTACTGTTATTGCAAGAGTTATCTGAACTCACAAACAAACCTTTGTCGAGATGATTCAACTCCATCTCCTCCTATCCTCCTCTTCATCAACAGGAGTATACCATGATGGCCGACGCTTGGAGTTGCTCAATCTATAATTTAAGAGCACTTCTTCATCGCAGAGCGCCCGAGTTGCCACGAGAACTATTGTCTTCAAAATGGGAGTATCTGATCCGTTGATTCTTGAACGTCCAGACTTGAACCAAAAGCTACCAAGCCTCTTCATGTTCACTTCTTCATTTGCAAACAATACATTCGGAATATAAACTCTCATGTCCTTTTCTGTCAAGGGGTAATCGTAAGGACAAAGCATAACATTTGGAACCATATCCTTAGCCGGGTGGTTGGCAAAATGAGCAAAGGATAGCGGGTTTCTACGCTCTAAAGCATCACTACCATGCTCCATTTGCTTGGCTTCTAGCGGTTTGCTCAGCATTCGCCAAAGGCGATCTGATTTCTCATCACCTTGTTTGATCGGGTTACTTTTGGGAACAGTTAAGCCATCCCATACCTCACGGGTATCAGCACCCAAACCCCAAGGTTGGGCATTGATTACAGTCCCGTCGTACCTTGTGATCAGATATGGATTCTGAGCATCAACTCTTGGATATCCAGGAATGTACTGATAATGAGCAGGGGAGTAGATAACGCCCGGGTATATTGCTACAACAGATCCGACATCAGCTTCGCCATCTATAAATAGACCTTGTCCAGCATCTTTGTGAGGGATTTGAGATGGCTTGATATCAAGAGTGTAGCCAATTGCATCCTTTAATTTCTGAGAAAGTTCAGATCGTCTCAACGGCCTCGTCTTCGGGATATCTGTGCTGTGAATACATCAGTAACCAGTAGTCATCACAGAGGTTAAAGGAGAAAAGATATAACAAAAGCTTTAGTTACGAATTTATAGGAGCCATTTGGGAGTCAGTTTTAAAAATGTTTTATGTTTTTCAGAACTAAATGCAATAAAAAAAACATTTAGTTAACCGTTTGAAAAGAAACCTTGCTTTTCATTTGTTTATCCTCACTGAGTGGTCTGTTATTAAGAACCACGGAAGTCGTTCTTTTATCAAATATCACAGACTAGTGAATAGTTAAAACATTTTATGAACTTTAGGACTTCAATTTTCCTGTGGATAGGCTCTTCTAGTTAACTGGGCTATCCTTTATCAAGTAGCTAAAATTTCTCAGCTAGCAGCATTGCAGAATGCAGAGGATTCTTGAAGAATTTAAACCAACAGTGTACAAGTATACCGGATTTTCATAATCGGCCAAAATTTGACCTCTAAAGAAGCAAACCTTCAAACAATACCCAAAGAATCATATCTTAGATAGATCGAGGGGGATGCAGTTTCAAGTACTCAAAACAATATAATCTCAGCAATTCATTTTAGATGCTATTCAGAAACCAAAAATAACATTTACTGATTTATATATGTAATTTAAGACTTGGAAATAACACACTGAATGAAGGAATGTGTTCTAGTTGCTAATTGGATTTCCAAGCTCACTAGCAAAGAGGGTAGTAGATCATCATTGGAACATGGGTGGGCATTAAGGATATTTTATCCTTCATTTGGGGATTGACATAATGTCAACTTATTAGCTTCTTCAGCACTATGCACAATGAAGCCAACCAGTTTTTAGCAAATTGTGAAAAGATCTTGCTTATATCTGGGCAATTCGATTATTTTAGCAGCCCTTTGCAAAATTTTAGTGACTGGTACATGGTTCATCATTTAACATTTAAAAGAGCTTTCTAGAAATTGATCAGAGCGAGAGTATCTAACCAGCAACGTTAGTAGTTGGATTATTTCTGCCAACAGCAAAACTAAGACCACTTTTTCGAACAGCATCATTGGATTGTTCGGGTGATTCTGCAGGTTCATTGCTCTTTCTCATATCTGGAAGAAGAACTTCATCCATATGCATGCAGAAGCTTTTAACCTGTGAATGGATGTTCTCTTGCACTTGCTTTTGTTGATCAGCGAAGGAAGCTTTACTGGCCATGTCAATAATCTCCTCTGCATCAGCCTCAGCAGCATTCCTCCCCAAACGGTTGTAGCTGGAAGTTCAAACTTTAATGAGATGAATTACTGAAACATAAAAATTAGTATGAACTTGCCAAAAGTATAGGTTTCTTACAAGAGGCCACATCCTGAAAATATTTTTTAATCAATTTTCCTTCCCGGTGTGAAGAGAGATGACACTAGAAAGAATTTATACCCAACTAGGGACCTTCATGGGGACTCCAGTAACTGAATGCAAGGATAGGCGGCCAAATTGATAGAATAATGGCGATTGTGTGATGGTATCAACAACTAAGTTGATGCCATTACAATAAAATAAATTAAATTTAGCAACAGACAAAATTATTTTCCTTTTTTCTTTTTTCTTTTTTCTTTTTTCTTTTTTATATTTTTCCAGAAGAAGAAACAAATGAACCATTCAAAAAATGTATACAGGGGAGAATGGTAGAAGAGATAAAAAAGACATCAACACAAGAAGCCAAAAAGATTACTAAAATCCTACCTAATTGAAACAAATCCTAGAAACGAATAATTACAAAAATACTTTTCTACAGCCCCCAAGGAGCAGTAGAAAGCAAACATTATAGCATAAAAGGAATAGCTCCTTTCCACCGCTGTGAAAACCTTCTAATCCTTTCAGACATATCTCCATAAGCCCACCATAGTCCACAAAACCCTATGATTCTCCAAAGAATAGACAATCATGTAAAACTAGAACAGCCCTTATGCTACGAGTGTCCAAAAGAAATCTATGATTAAAAACCAATGTAAAACAGTTCTACATTGGTTTACTAAACCTGCCTAGAAATATTTTGTTAAGGTAAACAAACCACCAGTCCTGTAGTCAGAATAAAACACTTTGATACTAATAACCCTCGGTTCATAGTCCCGAACAATACAGATGAGTGTGATTAGAAGTCGAAGAACTTGAAAAAAGAAAAATGGCTTATAGAGATTTTAGTGGACATTGGAGTTTGCACATGAATTCCAGGGACAGAGCACAACATAAAAGTTTGGAGAGGAATTAAACTGAATTTTGGAACCACATGATGCAATAGAAAAGTTTAAATGACCTGGTGAAAAGGAACAAGCGGTTCATATCTGCTTCGAACTGCAGGCGCCTTGGATCCCTCGAAAACATTGGATTTTTTGCAAGAACCTTCACAGCCTGAATTTATAAGCATACACATAATAAACGTCAGTAGAGAAAAAAAAAATCAAATGTAATAGATTCATTTTAGGAAATTTGTGAGAAAATTTTCAGACACCACTTCGTCAACTCTATTTAGTTCTTGAAACCGAACAGAAGAACAATACCTACATTCTCTATCTATCTATCTCCGTCCACTTTCCATCATTTTCCAGCGCTTTATCGGGAAAATCAAAATCAAAATCAAAATCAAGAGTAATACCTCTTGAAATTTCTGAAACAGAAAAGCCATTTGAGGAATTAAACCACGTAGTAGAGAATTCAAGTGACCCAAATTAGCTCCCGCGAACGAGCAGCTACTCGAGTTGAGACCAGCAATTCCAGAACCAGAGTTGAGAGTGGAAAATTATGAAATCGAGAGAGAGAAAGAGAGAGAAGATCACGCGAGTAGCACGTGCATAATTCTCTGGGCCGTGGTGATATACAGCGATCATTGGGCTTCCAAACAAAAGTAGGCCCAAATATGGAGCCTGCCCCAGTGGACCTGGAAAAGAAGTTTCATTTTAAAACGTGCAATTTTATGATTTAGCCCCTTCGCAACTAATATTTTCTATTTTTGTCTACCTTTAGAAATTAATTACAATTTTTTGTTATTTTCAAAAGTGACCATCTCACTTTTAAGCCGAATTAGATTACAAACTCTTTGTTAAGATTTTCTTTTTTCTCTTTTATCATGATATATCTGTACTATATTTGTTGATAAAATCTAAATTTCATTATTTCAAGAATGTTGTATGGTAAATAAATACGTAACTACTCTAGAGAGTAAGAATATCTTAACCACCAAGCTACCATCTTTCAAGTAAATTTCTATCTAATTTGGTTAAAACACGAGTCTTAAAATTCATTTATTTGCTGTAATCCTATATTTTTACAATCTTGGCTGTAGTTTCCTTAGCATATGGCTTGTAGTCAGTCAAAAGTGTTATTATCATTATTTTTTTTTTAATTTCTTAGTACAAACATAGAAGTTAGAAAAAAAGAAGTTAAAAGGAAATCTGCAATCAATATGGGTGATCCTCTAACTAGATTTGCAAATATCTATTTCTTCGGGGGTGATAAGTTACAATTGCATGGAGTGAAGAGAGAGCCAATAACGAGATCTTGTGTTTTGAAAGACTTTAAGTTCATTGATAAAAATTTGGAGTTCATCAATAAAAAAGTGTTAGAAAATTTAAACGAGATAAAGCAATCCATTTTTATCGTTATTCTTATATTATTCGATTAAGCATAATAACTCCCCTCTCTGTGACCGACAAATTAGAGGGAATCCCGTCCTAAAATTTGGGAGAGGTAGGCAAACGATTGGCAGAGAGAAAATGAGTGAGAAGAGAGAGTGACTGTTGAGGAGCAAAGATTGGGACTTGGTGGCCTGCCCCTCTAATGGTGGCCAAGCTCAGGCCTTCTTGGTAAGTTTCAACCCAACCAGCCACTTGATGCCTATCATACCATGCCCTCCATTCCTCTTCAACTTTCAAATCCATCATCTTTATGCTATATTTTGTTGACGTTATCGGTATTCTCCCGTCGGTGTCACCGCTGCAAAATTATAGGCACTCACTTCAAAAAAAGAATCACTGAACTAGCTTAAAAGATTGTCATACACACTGTAACTTAACTCATTGATTATATAGATTTGTTTATGTTAAGGATCCCACATTAAAGAGATAGGAGATTTAACCAGGGTTAATGATATAAGTGGGCTACTCCTCTCGTTGTCAATTGATTTTGAGATGGAACTCCAAAGTCCGAAAGCTCAAATGAGCATCCGGTCCAAAAATGAAAGTATAATATGAGTAGATTACTCCTCTCATTGCCAATTGATTTTGAGATAGAACCCATGAATATTAATTATTACATGCTTATAAATCTAAATTTTTTTATATATAAAAGAATCTAATCAATTAAGGAACATATTCACATTCTTAACCGAAATAGAAGATCAATGAAAGAAAGAATGAAAGATGACCTATAAATCCAAATGCGGTAGCCTGTTTTGAGTAACTTGTGAATGATGGGCAAGACAGATTCAGGAGCATCAATCCAATCTTGAATCACAGAACTGTCACAAAAAGTATAAGAACATGACGATTAACAAATTAAATATATATGAAAGTATAATAATCGAAATAGACCATCAACTTAGAAATTATAAGGACCTGCAAGGAGTGTAAGGATAGGAAAGTTTCGTAACATTAGCATGTAGAGCCCTTTGAACATCCTCTCTATTGAAATATTTTTCAGCATAATTTGTAGTGCATGGATCATAGCCCGTTGGTAGCTTATCCCACAGTTTCTGTGAAAAAGACCAAAAAACAAGACATCATCAAAACATAGAAGGTTTAACGAAAGATGGTTTTCGAGAGACCTTAAGTTGATCTGTCTTACCCGTTTTGTAAAGATTCGAGGAGCAACAGCACCGACCAGTCGTTTGAAAATCGAGGAGGAGGAAGAAGGGGAGAGGCAGGTTGGAGCATAAATGTTATAGACATCAATTTTGGAGTAAGAAATTAGAAAATCTCCGTAGTGATTAAGGCAAGAAAGCGTTTGGTTTTCAACATCAGCTGAGAAATTGCATAGTTTGAAGATGTTGGCATGGAGTTGATCTGATATTATGGCATGGCTCCATGCAAATTCAACCATTCCCATGGAGTCTGTTTCATCATTGATGGCTGCATTTCCAATCTGATAAATATAATTTTCTCATCATCTCATAAATATATATAAGAAATTAGAAAATCTCCATAGTCTATCATGTCATAACAAATCCATCAGAATTAGCCCATTTAAACAGATCACATTATCACTATAGTTAATAGGGTTAATTAATGGCATGTAGTGGTAAATAAAATTTTTAAAATTTAGAAAAAAAAAAACTAAATAGAGAAAGGTATCAAATTTATAATTAAAAAAAAAGAAATACAAAAGGTTAAATTAAAGCTAAAATAATTGGGAAAGAAAACTTACCAATAAGCCCTTGAGGTTAATAATCAAGTCTTTGCTAGAATTTTTGTTTCTCTCATAAATCAGCTCAGCAAGTTGGGGAGCATAATGTCCTTCAAATAAACATAGCAAGAGATCATTTATCAAGTCAATGTCACAAAATTACTCATTTAGTTTAAGTTCCATTCTATGACGATTCATAAAAACACTCCAATAAATTGAGAAAGAGATTATCCAAAAGTCTAAAATAGCCCCTTCTCAAAGTTGTTTCGCTCGTTAGTTAAACGTTATAAGAATTTCAAATGACACAAAATTTAAATACATGGGTAAAAGTAACTTATTGCAACGAAATTCAGATTTCATGGCTAAAGAAATTTAATTTCGTCAACAAAAGTGTTGCGGGCGAAATTTGAATTTTGTAACCATGACTCGCGATGAAAGCAAATCTGATCGACAAAAGTCTCATCTTACGATAAAATTGATTTTGTGTTGCTTTTTTTTCTCGTGAAAATTAACAGCAACGAAATCAGAGATGTCTAGCGATGAATTTGTCAACAAAATTTTTTGATTGGGATAGGTTATGTCAATACTTATTCTACTTTTGGCAACAATTTTGTTGTGTTGGTAAAAATTCAATTTTTTTGTAGCGGTCGGGGATAGCCAAAATTTATATATATATATATATATATAATCTTCTCATTCTAAAAATTCTAAAAGAAGAAAAACAGAGAAAAGTGACGAAATCTAAAGTATTTTGTTCCAACCCTGTTCCAAATAGAATGTAAAATATGGAAATATACAACACCAAAAAGAAAAGAGATAAAGAAAAATACCAGCATAGCTCTCCCCAGCTATATAGAAATCATGGAGTTTGAAACTTGGGAACCTTTTGAACCAACCAAGAAGAAAATTATAAGAATCTTGAGCTGTGATTCTATCTCCCAGCTTAAGTAAATCTGATGATTTGTTTGTATAAGAGAATCCCACTCCCACTGGTG